ACATAAGTGGAGTCACACTATAGTTGTCTTTTTGTGACCGGCTTATTTCACTTGGCATAATGTCCTCAAGCTTCATACACGTTGCAGTCTACTGCAAAATTTTCTTCATTTTTAAGGCTGAATGATATTCTCTTGCATGTATATACCTTTTTGCATATCCATTCATCTGTTGATGGACACTTGGGTTGCTTCAACATTTTAGCTATTGTGAATAATGCTACTATGGACATGGTGTACAAATACTCTTCCAGATCTTGCTTTCAATTCTTTTGGATATATAACCAGAAGTGGAATTGTTGGAACATACAGTAATTCTATTTTTAAGTTTTTGATGAAGGCCATGCTCTTTCCCACAGCAGTTTCATCATTCTACATTCCCACCAAGAGAGCATAAGAGTCCCAATTTCTCCAGATCTTTAACTGCACTTGTTTTCTGGACTTCCTTCCTTCCTTCTTTCCTTCCTTCCTTGTAGCCATCCTAATGGGTGTGAGGTGGTATTTCTTTGCACTTTTGATTTACATTTTCCTAATGATTACTGATGTTGAACATTTCTTCATGTGCTTATTGGCCATTTGTATAATCATTTTTTGGAGAAATGTCTGAATCCTTTGTCCACTTTTGAATTGGGTTTTTGTTTTTGTGTTGTTGAGCTTTGGAAGTTCTCTATATATTCTGACTATTAATCCTGTATCAGATACATGATTAGCAAATATTTTCTCCCATTCTATGGGTTGCCATTTTACTCTGTGGATAAGTGTCTTTGATGCACACATTTTAAAACATTTTCATGAAGTGAAATCTATTTTTGTTGTTGTTGTTACCTGTGCCTTTGGTGTCATATCCAAGAAAACATTGCCAAATCCAATGTCATAAAGTTTTGTCCTATGTCTTCTTCTAAGATTTGTATTGTGTTAAGGCTTATGTTTAGGTTCTTGATCCAATTTGAGTTAATTTTTGTATATGGAGTTCGGTAAAAGTCCAACTTCATCCTTTTGCATGTGGATATCCAGTTTTCCCAGCATCATTTGTTGCAAAGACTGTCCCTTCCCTATTGACTGGTCTTGGCACCCTTGTAAAAATTCATTTGACCATATATGTGAGGGCTTATTTTCAGACTCTCTATTCTATTCCACTGGTCTTTATACCTGTCTTTATGCCAAGGCCACACTCTTTTGATTTAGCTTGGTAGCAAGTTATTCAATCAGGAGTGTAAGTCCTCCAGTTTTGCTCCTCTTTTTCAAGTTTGCTTTTGCTATTTGGGGTCCCTTGAGATTTTATATGAATTTTAGGGCAGTTTTTTTTCTATTTCTGCAGAAGTGTCATGGGGTTTTTCATAGGGATCACATTCAATCTGTAGATCGTTTTGGGTAGTATTGGCTTTTTAACAAGATTAAGTCTTGCAAACCATTAACATGGGATGTATTTCAATTTATTTTTGTCTTCTTTTATTTCTTTCAGTAGCGTTTTGTACTTTTCATACAAGTCTTTTACCTCCTTGTTTAAGTTAATTCCTAAGTATTTTACTCTTTTTTGGGGGATACTATAGTGAATGCAATTGTTTTGTAAGTTTCTTTTTAGATTGATCATTGTTAGTGTATAGAAATGCCATTGATTTTTCTGTGTTGACCTGTATCCTCTTACTTTGCTGAATTTTTTTCATTGTAACAGTTTTTTTTTTCCCCACAATCTTCAGAGTTTACTACATATAAGATCATATCATCTGCAAACAGAGGAAAATTTACCTCTTTCTTTCCAATTTGTATGGCTTTTGTGTCTTTTTCTTGCCAAATTACTCTGGCTTGAACTTTCAGTGCTACATTGAATAGAAGTGGTAAAAGCACACATCCTTGCCTTGTTTCTAATCTTGGAGAAAAAGCTTTCAGTCTCTCACCACTGAGCATAATGTGCATTCTCGTTTTTTCACATATGACTTTTATTATGGTGAAGTCATTTCCTTCTATTCCTAGTTTGTTGAGTGTTTTTATCATGAAAGGATGCCGCATTTTGTCAAGTGCCTTTTCTGCATCAATTGAGATGACCATGTGTTTTTTTTTCTCTTCGTTCTGTTGATATGGCATATTACATTGATTGATTTTCATATGTTGAACCACCCTTGCATTCCAGGAATAAATCCCACTTGGTTATGGTGGATAATCCTTTCAATATGCTGGTGAATTATGCTTGCTAGTATTTTGTTAAGCATTTTTGCAACGTTGTTGATAAGAGATAAGGATCTGTAGATCTCTTGTGTTGTCTCTGTCTGGCTTTGCTATCAGGGTAATGCAGGCCTTATAGAATGAGTTAGGAAGTGTTCCCTCCTCTTCACTTTTTGGGAAAAGGTTAAGACAGATTGGTATTAGTTCTTCTTTAAAATTTGGTCAGTGAATAATCAGGTTCAGGGCTTTTCTTTGATGGGAGACATTTGTTTACTGATTCAATCTCCTACTAGTTATAGGTCTATTTGGATTTTCTTCATGATTTAGTCTTGGGAGGTTTTATGTTTCTAGAAAGTTATTCAAGACTGCCACCGTAGTTGTCCTATTTTTAAAATTTCACATACATCATGGTAATTTCCCATTCCATAACATATCCTGTGGAAGCATGACTGTAAATGGTTGCATAATACTCCATCCCACAAGTATGTCATACATTATCTAACCTTCTTCCTGTTGTTGAATGTAGGTTGATTTCAACTGTTTGTCTGCAACGAATATCCTCATTCTGTGCACACATCTCTTCTTAGTTCCTTAGTATATATTCCTTGGAGTAGAGCTCCTGGATCATTGGGTCTGTAAGCATTATTTCCTGCTCTGACCTAATCTTTTGAGATGATGCCGAAGAGGAAATTAGGCTCAAATCTAAGCTACCAGTTGAGCAATGAGAACAATTTATTTAGAAAATTTTCTTGTCAGTATCTTATTACTCCAGTCTATTTATCCAGTTAGTTATCTGCTTAATAGAAAATTATGGATATAAATATAATTAGCTTTAATAGCAATAAATCTTAAATACAACTTTATAGTAGTTTTTATTCTTATGTTCAGTACTCATATGTGAATTCACGAACATTATTTAAAATGTGATAACAACTAGTCATAAACATCATAATCAAAACATTTATTTATTGAAAATTTGATCTGTACCAGACATAGTGCTAAGCCCTTTATATGCATAATCTCATTAACAAATGCCCTAACAGGTGGATGTAAGGAGCTCTAGTTTACAGAGGAGCAACCAGAGTCACTGAGAAGTCCAACCTGACAGCCTCTCCAGAAGCTAGAACCGAGACCTAAGCCTAGGTCTTTCTTTAACATTCATTTAGTGCTCACTACAAAGCAATGAATGTTCTAAGCTATAAAAATGAGGATTTTTACAAATGACAAAACAAAGACCCTGAGAGGTTTGTTATCTGTCCAATGGAACATAGCTAATAAATGGTGGACCCAGGCTCAGACGAATTCTGGATATCGTACGCTTAGGAGTTCTCCCTCCCTGATCTGCTGCAATTGCACATGAAGTGCAAAGGAGGAAAAGGAGCCACGTTGGGCTAAGCAATTAAGAAGATTTTTTTTCTCTGACTGACAATAGACCAGGCCGCCTGAGCAGAGAAAAGGCTGGACTTTGGGCTCCCACCTGGTCCCCCTCCACCAGTAGTACCCTATTGTGGGAAACAGTGTGTCCAACCCAGGAGCTGGCACCGGCTCCATCTCTCTCTCTCACCCTCAGGACCACAGTCATCTTTTCGCATCAGTGTGGCATTTTCTGGTCACACTAACTGGGTAGTCCGATTCTCAGGAGACCTGGTTTCTTGTGCTCCTGTCACTGACGACAGGATTTGACCTCACGGAAACTCAAGGTGCAAAGACGCATTTGGCACCTGCTGCGATGCTGGGCGGTTGGTGGTCAGTAGGCGCCAGTTTGCCAAACCTGTTGGAAATCATTCAGCTGCTGCTCCTGCTGACTCACCACAAGCCCCCTCTCGGTGCCCACTGGCATTTCTGGAAACATAATCAGACCCAGACCTAAGGCACCTTCCTGCCTGCGCCCCACGGGCTGCTGTGTTGCCCCGCACCAGGCGCACTCAGCCACAACTTTGAAAGGTCAGCCTATCTCGGAGTCGCGGCCTTAACGTGAGATAACGTGGACATTTCACTCGTCTGGCAGATATTTTTAGTCCTTTGTCCAACTTTTGAAAGAATGGAATTTTGGAAATGTTTCGCCTTAGACGTTTAGCATTCCTAGGCTGATTCACTACCCCGGTGAGCCCGTGGTTTCCCCGCTGCCCTGATTACGGTAAAAATAGCAGTCATTCTGGGAATTTGTTCAGGTTTTTTTCCAAATCCACTGAGCCTCGTCTCCGACACCACTGCTCTCCGGCGAGTCCCGGCACCAGGTGCTCCGGTCTGGTTAGGCCCCCCGTAGGCGCCTGGCGGAGTATGGACGCAGTCCAGGTCCCTACCCGGTTCCTGGGTTCTTACTACCTAACACATAGACGGACCTGACCTGCGACGCGTTTCCTTTCCTTGTTTATAGACTTTTCTTTCTGACAGTTAAGAGTAGTGCTCAGGTAGAGATTTAGGAAATTAAAGAGTCAGAAGTTTCCAAACACGCTGAGGTCACTTTAAGAATTCAAAGGACACGAGACACCTGCCGGGGTGGTGGGGGGGCCTTGAGCCGCTCTGCCCTCCCCCAGTCCGGAAATGCCAGCGTCCAACGGGGACCCGAGGCACTCCCAGGCTGGGAGGAGGCGGTGGATACCTGGATCTGAACCAACTCGATCCCTCCCCGTTCCTCTGCCCTGTGGCGCAGACTGGCCCTTCCAGCTCCGGAGCGCCGGGCTCCGCGCGCAGCCCCCTGGGGGCAGGTCCGCCCGCAGTCCTCCAGGCTACTGGCTGCCCGGAGCCAGTGTGGGCGGGGGCGGGAACCGGGAACCCGGCGCGCGGTGAGGGGCGGGGGCGGGAACAGGCGGGGAGGAGCCGGCGGGGCGGGGACCCAGGCAACTAGCCAATCCGCGCGGACTCGGGTTCGCCCAGGCTCCCGACTGGCCGGCGGGAACCGGGGAGCCGCTCCCCAGCACTCGCGGACTTCGGAATTGGCTGGCGGCCTGACGGGCGCCGCGGCCGCAGCGCGTTTCCGCAGTTTGTCGAGCCCCGGGGATGCGCGCCCTGCCAGCCCTGGACGCGCCCCCGAGCGAGCGCCTCCTGTCCCGGGACTCCGGGGCCCCCCGGGCCCGGGACCCGGCGGGGCCGACGCGCAGGAGCGCGGTGGAAAGGCTGGCAGCCGACCGCTCCAAGTACGTGCGGGGCCCGCCGGGAGCCGGCCCAGGCCCGGCTTGCGAGGGCAGCGGCCCCGGGGCGAGCGAAGGGCAGGCGGGCGACCCTCGGCCCCCGGCGCGCGTCCCCGGTGCGGTGGCGCGCAGGGCCATAGCGCGGAAGCCGCTGAGGCCGGACTCGCTGGTTATCTACCGACAGAAATGCGAGTTCGTCCGAGGGTCGGGAGCCGACAGCCCCAGGGGAGGCCTGGTGAAGAAGCTCTTCCCGGGGCCGGGCAAGGACAAGACGCCGGGGTGCCCCGGCACGTCCCGGGTGGGAGAGGAGGGCGGGGCCGGGGCCCAGGAGGCCGCCCCGACCGAACCCGGCCCCGTCGTGGCTCCCGCGGTGCCAGGGCCCTCCGCGCCCCCGGCTCCCGCCCCGCCGGTCAGGGCGCCCTCCAGAGTTCCGGCTGCGCCCCGGGGTCCGGAGCTGCTCGGGGCGAGGCACCGGGGGCTGCAGCGTTCGCAGTCCGACCTCAGCTCGCGCTACTCCGCGTCCTTGGCCGAATTTGACACCTTCTTCCAGTACTGCGGCCTGGAGCCCGAGGTGGTGGAGGCGATCGGCCGGGAGAACTTCTCCGCCGGGTCGGACGTCGTCGCCCTCAAGGTCCGCAGCGTGAGCGTCGCCACCTCCGACAGCGGCTTCTCCCGGCACAGCGGCGGCGACGAGGGGCTGCAGGAAGAAGAGCTCACGGAGCAGGTGCCCAGCACCACCTCGGTGGTCGAGAGGAACGCCCGCATCATCAAGTGGCTGTACACCTGTAAGAAGGCCAAGGAGACCCCCGGCCAGGGGCTGCAGGGCCCGGCGTGACCGCTGCGCCCCGGGAGACCCGGACCGAGGTTTGCGTCCAGAGAGGCCGGGAGGGGTGTGTGTGCGGCGTGCCTGTGAGGGCTTGGGGAGTGACCGAGCCGGGTAGATCCAGCCTTCTCAAGTAGCGAGGGACCCTAGGGATAGAGACGCAGAGGCTCCTGCGTCAGAGTGGCCGCTGCTGAAGAGCAGAAGGGCCGCCAGGCCAGGTCCCCGCAGGGCCTGCACCAGTTCTTTTGAGTGTGCGATTTCTGGCTGCCTGGAAAGGTAACACCATCCCAGTTGGTCTATTATTGTGAAAAGTGGAGAAACTGGGATTATAAATGCTCAGTTAGGAAGTGGTTTTACACCTCAGCAGTTATCCTGATTTGAACATAGCCTGAGAGCCCCAGTTCCTGTGGGCATCCAGAGCTTTGATGTGAGTTGACCGGTCAGCCTGTGGCCCTGGGGTGGGGCTGCCATCTCCCCTCCAGCAGAAAGGAAGGCTCTGCACTTCCTGGAGGCCTTTACCCAAGTGGGAGGGAGGAGAACTTCTCTACAGGATCTTGTCAGCAGTTTGACATTCATTTAGCTGCAGAGATCTTTATTTGGCTAAAGTTTGTTCAAATTGTTCTGAGACCTTCCTGCGGAGAGCCGCTGCAGCGTAGTTCACAGGAAGGAGCTTCGGTTTGTTGAACTGGAGCTGGACGAGATCGGAACTAGCATCTTACAGTCCTGCTTGGCAGTGATTCTGTATTTTATTTGCCTCTGACGATAATTTGGGAGGTAAATTTCTTCGCCTTGGGCGTCAGTAGCTCAGGGTTGATCGCAAGAAGTTCTTTTTCCCTGAGGAGCTAAGGAGTGCTTATCCTCACTGTCAGCTCTGTGGAGAGAGCACTTCCGGGGCTGGTGAAGAGAGAAGGGAAGGTACCTTTTCAGGGCTCTCTTTGGGAGCCAAGATTTTAAACATTGCAACATCTTGTTTTCTCTGACCCTGCACTGACAACCTGCTACAGGTGTTTGTGAAATTCACGTGGTGGAAGTATTTTTTCTGCCGTTGAGATGACTGATTGAACACACAGTATGTCTTCAGCGTGGTGGGGAGTCTGCCACAGACATGATGCACACAGCTCACCTGTGTCTGAGGCCTGGAAAAAGCCTGACTTCCCCTAGTGGCCATGGTCTTGGTACGGTTGTGACAATTCGCAAAAACAGAGGAGTTCATTGTTTCTCTTGAACTCAGAGGGGTCATGACTTAAGTGCTCCCTTGTAGTTCATTGAGGATTATTGCATTTCCACTAGGCTGAATCCCCAAGGAATGTATATAGGCAGTCAGAATTTAAACTAAAAGCACACATTAACTTGTACTTTTCACCGGTTGTGCTGGGAGCTGAGACGAGTGAATGCTGGCCAGGGTTAGGGTTGGCCATGAACACCCTGATGTGGAGGAAGGAAGCTGCAGAGGCCAGCATGTCCCAGAGGGATGTTGTGTAGGATGGAGCCCTCAGTGGGGAGTGGGGAGTGCTTCTGGTAGCAACCACTCCCGCACTTCTAGCTTCGTTGTCCATAAAACGAAGGTAGATAGCAGATGCTTTCCAGCCTCTACGCTTTACGATTCCACATAGTCAGTAATCTGTATGTCTGTGTTGCACGATTGAAACCCAGAAAAGGAAAACAAAAAAACTGTCGTCTATTGTAGTATGTAAAAAGTAAACTTACAAATAAGCTCCTTCCAAGTGGCCAGAGTGCACTGTACTTCATGCAAAGAGTGTAGGTGAAATTGGTGGTGCAAATAGTGCTGAAGTAACACAGTGGTGCGCAAACACACCAAAATAAAACCTGACACCAAAAAAATAAAAGCACTGTCCTCTGATCCATCAAGACCCAGCCCCACCTCACCCAGTGCTCACCGACAGTGCTCACCCACAGTGCTCACCCAGTGCTCACCCACAGTGCTCACCCAGTGCTCACCCAGTGCTCACCCACAGCGCTCACCCAGTGCTCCAGTGTGAAAGCTGAGAGGGAGTTTAGGATTCAGTCCATGAAGTAACTTTCCAAATAACCTTTCCTTTTAGGTCTGAGTCTGTGTAAGATTTAAGAAGGTTGGTTAGCCTGTAAGAACTTTCACTTTTATGACAGAGAAGTAGTTGAGGCAAGAGGGAAAGTGACACAGGTTTAGGAAACTGGCCAGGTGAGCCTCTGCAGAAGAACAGAGGTTCACTCACTCACCCTCTCCCTCCCTCTACATAACCCTGTTTGTTCAGGTGGGGGTCGGATGTCACCTGTATCCTGAGCTGTTTCATATTACTGCTCAGAGAAGGGAGATGGAATTGACACGGAACCTGCCCAGTTTTCTGTATGTCATTGGCAATCACCAGCACTGTAAAGATTTTCTCTACAAATTCACTCTCCTAGACCCAAAACAGCTCAGGTTATTTGAACTTCCACCCAGGACACCTAAGGGCTGGCTGCTCGGAGAACTGTGAGGAAGAAATGCATGTCCTTTCTCCAGCTCCACTGGGACTGGGACGATGTCTGCGCATGATCACGGCCCCTCAACTTGCCATTCGCAGACACGAAGCCCCCTCTGAAGAAGAGCCAGGAGAGCGCTTAGACCCTTCGTCTTCATTGGTGAGGGTCTTCTGGCAGCTTGAACAAAATGCAGCTGACCTTCTCCCACAGGATTACTTGGCCGAGATTAATTCCATAACTTCTGGAAGCTGTGGAAGCAAGACTACAAGGTGTAATTTTTCTCTAGTTTATCAGGACATTTGTGTTGGAGTCCATACGGATTCATTTTAAGATTTCATGAAAATTCAGAAAATTTGAGATGAACAAATATATGCTTTCTAAGTGAAAAAAGAAAACATTTTATATGGAGGGTTTTGTCCCCTTGCTAGATAGAGATATTATAAAGTAAAATAAAAATATCCCATCCAGAATTAAATAAAAGGTTCACAAATTTATTACCCCATGGAGTAAAAATATTTGCTTTCCAAAACTGAGGATATCAGAGCTGGAGAATGACTTGTAGAATCTGCATGCAGTCCCGCTGGGATCCATTAGTGATAGATAGTTACATGTGGATAATTTTGGTATTCTGTTTCCCAGTGTATAATTCCTGAAAACTGCTCTTCTGTCTACTGGTGTTCAGTCATCTTCCTGTGATTCAATTCATTAAAATGATAGGCCTGCCAAAATTTCGGTTTCTGGTTTTCTATCTTTTGCACAAATAAATGTTACCGATCTTAAAATTGTTAGAATGGTAACTTGCCCTTTGAATTAATTAGGGCTAAACATTGTTCGGTTTTAAGGCAAAAATCTCAGACATCTCCAGCTGTCTTCACATTTCTCTTTGATAGATGTGGGGCAACTGAAAGCTAGGGGGTAGAACTGTCTCACCATCTGCAAAGATGCCGTGGGGAGATAGCGCAAACAAACTGGGACACCCCTGAATTTCTGCTTCTTTCTTTTTTGACTAGCTGGGAAGCTCTGTAGTCACCAACTAAGAGTGCATTTTAGGTAAGCTAGTGGCTTGAGCTGTAATAAGGCTACCTACTCTGTCTTCAGGCCAGCCCCTGGGCCTTTTAGAGAGATTTGTGTTTGAAAGCAAAGAATCTGTTTGCCTCTAAAAATTTATTTGTACTGCTTCCTTTGTGTTCTGTTTTGTTGTCCAGCTCTGTGCTAGTGGGCGCTGGCCTTACCCATCAACATTCAAAGAAATTTTTCTTTACTTCCCCAGAAAAAGGCCTGCGGGGAGATGGATGCAGAGAAACCAGATGATAGCTGCTTTTGCCACTGATTTCTTTTCAAAATTTAAAATGTGCAAAGGAGATGCTTAAAATGCAGAAAATATCACAAAACCAAAAACTGCAGGGACCTGACTTCGTAGTTCAATGCTTGGCTTTATAACTTTTGCCTAGAATGGTGTTGATTGACAGCTTTTTCCTTATCCTCAGGAAGCAAGCCTTCCCGACAGTGGGGACTCCTTGAAGTACGTCTGGTTGATTGGGACCCCAGGGCCATCCTCACTGCCAGGTTTTGTCCAGTGTACCCAGGTGTCCATATGATTGCTGTTTTCCCAGGAATAAAGCACGCCATTGAAGAAGCCTAAGCAATTTCAGAAGGTTGGAAGTGCTATGGAGAAGATGGGGACATACAACTTGGAAATTAGCTGAGTTATAACACAGCTGTAGCTCTGGAAGATATTTTCTTGTGTTAGGTGGACCTATCCTTGCTTCCAGAGAGCAGCAGAAGAGGGAAAAACTGCTTGGAGATATTTTCAAGGGCATCTTTTTGAGTGGCTTGCTGACAAAGAGGTACAATTATACATTTTGATGATATCTAAATTAATTTTAAAAAGAAAAAAGGCAAAGAGCATGAAAAGCAAACACGAATGCCACGGTATTTACTTCTTCAATCATATTGGATGGATTGGCACCATTTAAATCAAAGTTCTGTGATCATAAGAAGTTATATTCTACACAAATACTATGGCTAACAAAGAGCAAACACATGCTCACACTTGCATACTCACACGTAGACCTCAATTTCTAAGCACCACTGCACCGTAAACTACAGTGAATTCCCAAATTGTGCAACTGATCATCTTATGAAATGAATCAGAAAGCACTTTTAAAACCACTTGAGAGCTGCAAGGTCATTCTGTGAACATCACTCCTGTTGGGTTGTAGACATGCAGAGGTACCAGTAAAAGATAAAGAGCTGAAATACTGCTCGGAAACCTTTTCTTGTACCTGGACAGTTCCTTGAGAGTTGGCAGAAGAATGTTGGAGCTTCCTTCCTTCAGATCAACAGCAGTGGTCCGCTTCTGCAGCACCGTTTAGAATATGGGCCTCCATGGTTCTCCTGTTCCCAGCTTCCAAAAGGATAAAAAGCCTCGGTTTAGACAGAGCATGGACTCATGACAGTGATGTGCCCTGCTCTCTGGTCTGATTCACACACCCACCTGTCAGGCAATCATTCCAAACTTGGCAACACTTCACCCTTCTCTGAAAAGGGTGTGTTTGAGACAAGGGTTAGCCTCTGGGTGTCCATAAGGAGTTACTGTGACCCTAAATCTGAACAAGCTCATGGCACTCAGAGTAAATAGATTTCAGATTCAGAAACTTCTGGGAGGAATTTTGTATCGATGATGACAACCCAAAGAAAACTTGTCACCTGGTCAAAGCTTACAATGTTTTGTCAAAATATGTCCCTTCAAGAATAAAATTATTAGAAGAATCGAGAGGGAAGAGAAATAGCTTTCTCAGTGGTAAAATATTTTATAAACCAATTTTGATACATTCATGTATTTGTTTAATATTGTATTCTATTTTTGTAACTGTTTTACTGTGAGAATATGTCCTTGAATTACTTAAATATTTATTTTTACATAGTTATTGGTCTTCAAATAGTTTTCCTACACTTCGTATGGTTTTAGTTTTTATCCGGATAATTTTAAATCATTCTCTCCTTGATTATCTTTTTGTATGTTGTTTAATTGAATTTCCAAATTTGACTGTAAGCAGAGTGTTCACTGCTCTAGAAAGTGCTCTGTGCTCTAGGGATTTGTTTTCAAGTAAAACACAGATGCGCATTTGGGGAGGCTCTGTTGGCTGATGGATGTACCTCTGTCAATGTAGTCTCTAGAAAGACAAAGATTCCCTGCTCTAAGAAATGTTTCCCTGTTGTTTTTTTAAAAATGCTGCTGTTCTGCTGTTCACTGGATTACACTTAGTTTAAAGATAATGTCAAAGATGAGAGGAGTTTTCTTTAAAGGACCTTTTCATACATGCAGTTCCCTTGTTTACAGGTTCCATTAATTTTATATGTGAATGCTGTAAGTAAAATTGTTATGTGCCTTTCTATTGTCAGAATAGGATGAACCGAAACCTAGCTCAGATTTATCTGAGATCAAAATGGTGCGGACTCTACCATCCGTGTAATAGATGAAAAAGAGAAAAACAAATTGGTTACCATTTAAAAGCACCAAGATCTTTGAGAAGCATTTGCACTTCAGTGGAGGCGACTCCTGGAAGGAGCTGTCAGGAACAGGGTATCCCCAGACCCCAGCAGGATGGGTTAACGCTCCCTCTTGTCCGTTCAGATTCATGCCTAAGCTCCGGGCCTGAGTGTGTGGTTGGAGGCCAGAGGTCCTTTCCTCACTGAATTACCCCAATTTGCTGAGTGACTTTGAGAAAATCAAACTGTGTAGCTCAATCTGAATGAAAAAGCTTGTAATTGCTTTTCACTATTGCGGCAAAATAGTTTCTTTTGTTCACAAAAGAATAGCTTCTCAGATAATATGATTAAGCACGATGGAGAGAAAAAATTATTGATACAGCATGGAAAATATCTTGGTAGTATCTATTTCATTAATACATGGGTACAGATCAGCAATGCCTCAGAGTGAAAGGTATTTATGTAACTGGAAAGTTTCCTCACTATATACTGATGCATATAGTTTCTAAACTGCTGGTCACTGACACTGGAATACAAAGAAGGATTTATCAAACGTTGCCCTTTTCAGTGGGTTAAAGGTGCAGTGCTGTAGTTGGTGATTCCGTAAGATATCAGGCCCAGACAATTGTTATGGCTGTTTCTGAATAGAGTTCATGTTTTCTGCACGCTACTTGCGACATGAGTGCAATATTGTATATTCTGTATCAAAGAAATAAAGTATTTTTTATCATTTTTAGTATTACTTTATGAATTTGTACAATGTGAAAAAACTGAAGCAAGAGTCTGCTTATTATAATTACTCAAATCTTTGGCTTTCTCCCTTTTTTCCTAATATCATCTCAGCAGATTATCAGTAGAAATGAGGAGCGCATTCTAAAATTTGACCCAGGAGAGCCATGTGGTGTCCGAAGTCTCCAGTTCTCCCTGGAGATGGAATGCAATAAAAACAGTTTGAATGTTTAGCACGTTGGTTTTCTTTGTTTCATCAGTCTTTTGTTTAAATTTCTTTCCTTCATGGTTTATTAATATTATCATTGTAAACTGGGTCCAAAGATAAAAATGAGAGTATAGTTTGTAACCTTTCCCATTAGTTAACTCCTTGGTGAAGGCAAACTCTACGTACAGCAGGTTTGCTCTCTGTATCTGCTGGTACTGGAGATGTAGGCCTGAGCCAGTGGGGAAGTCCAGTCTCTAGCTGATCCGGCTAAGCCAGGCCAGCTTCTTTTTCAGTCCTGCAGTGGCTTATGCACAAATCTACACAAGCATCCGAAGACAGGATTCTGGAGAATAGTTTACCCTGTATTTCCACGAAGACCATGGACAAGCCCCCGGGGACTGTGGAAACACTCTGATTGTAACTGTTCAGAACTGTCCCGACATCGTGCTACGTGGCTTCCATCACAGAATCCAACAGCAGCTGTCATTGTCTTCCTTCAGGTAAACGTGAGTTCTCACCTTTCTGTTTCCCTTTTTGAAAATTCGATAAGACGGAAGCAATGAAGTGATGCACAGCGGTTAGATGTTTCAACTTTGCTTGTGTTTTCTGTGATGAGATAAATTAATTTATATAATAGTTAAATGTTCCAGGTTGGAAATACTGAACAAGAAGGAAAGCAAATTCTCAACCAGGAGCTTATAACTCTGGTCGTGGAAGTAGGAGCAGTTCATGGGGAGAAAATACAGAAACACCAGGCAGTGCGCTCCTATCCAGTAATATTTTCTCTGCTACAATGTCCCCAATCCTACAATTGTCATCTTTGTGTCATCTCCTTGAAAATTGTCATTAAAATTGAAATGCTTTCTGAAGGGGAGAATGTATTTAGCCATTGATAACTATTCATCTTTAAGTCAAAACAGAATATTGATGTCTTTAGAAAGTGAGAACCCGAGCCACAGAAACAGATATGGAAAGACCGGAACCTTGGCTTTAGTATATAGCCTGTGGGATACTCAATTTTGAGCTTAAGTAGGACTCTTACTACAAGTGCCAGAATGGAAATTACGGTATCCACTAAATGCATACCCTGCTGTTGAAACACGCATGGTCCTGAGCAGTAGCGGCTATAATCAAGGACAACCCACTGATGACAGGAAGCAGATTCACCCACGTTCATGTATTGAGGAGCCAGGCACTGCAGTAGGCACTGGGGCTCCCCAGGCGCCCTGCCATGAGCGGCGTGTGTTCTAGGAGGAAGGTCGGATACTCAGTAAAGGGTAGATAGGCCAGCAGTTAGATGACAGACGTGGGAAACACGCAGATGGAAGGTGGGAGAGGGGATAAAGCGGAGTAAAGTGGAGCAGGCAGAAGTGAGCGGCGCCCTGAGCCAGACTCGCGGATTTCAATACGACCCTTCGCTTTGTAGTTTTTATTTATTGGCCAATGTGTCTGAACCATAAATGGAACCCAAAGTCCAAATCATATAAAAAGAGTCAAGCTACTGGGAAATAAAACATGCAAGTTACGAATGGTTTATTTTAATCCCTGGAGGCCCTTCACCCTTCAAATTCAGGTGAAGTCTAAACTGAATGAAAAGCAGAACGCGTTCCAAATGGGGCCTCGGGGCTTGGGCTGTATCCAGTCAGAACGTTGTTGATGGAGGACTGTGTGGCTTTCCTGGCTCTTAGAGGAAGTCCTCCTTTCAAATAGAATAAAAAGTCAAGACAGCAAAGAAGTGGTGACTGCCAGAGGGCAGAGCAGGCCCGCTCTCACGAAGGGGCGGTGTTTCCTCTGGTGACCTCTGAGGCCGTGTCGAGGACATGCCCTTGGAGGTAAACAGCTGGGTGCAGGCTGGGCCTCCTCTGCTTGGCAGTCAGGACTGCAGCGCCCACAGTCCGGAAAGGGGTGCATGCGCAGTGCCAAGTAGAGAGCTCTCAGGCCGCTTCCTTGCAGGTGTGAGTCAGGCACCAGAGAGGATGTCCGTGCAGCATCTGCTGAGGTGGGCAGGGACCCGGGACCACAGACCCTCAAAGCTGGAACGGATGTTAGAACTCGTGTACCGCCGCCCCAGCCTCCAGCAGGTGGACGCCCCTGCGTCTGTCCAGGCTCCTTCCCAGCCCTGCCTGAACGTGAGCAGGGCAAACCAGCTGTCCCTGTTTGCCGGGAACTTCCTGGTGTCCTCGGAGAATCTTCAGTCCCCAGCCAGCTGGGAAGATGGGACACCCTAAGAGGGCACCTTGATTAACACACGTCTCCATGCCAAGTTCTCGATTTCACTTTAATTCCCACCCTGAGGAAATTAATGCCAAAACTACTGTGAGCACATGAGAACTCGAAGTTCGCGGCGTTAAGGGTTTGGCATTTTCACTCTTGCCTTAAATTAGGGCGGCTTAGGTAGAGTGTTTCCTGTCTGGTGGGGAAGGTCATGTGGTGAGGATGAAGAAGGGTTAGATGCTTCTCTGGTGTTAGCCCTGCTCCTGGGAGAGCCTAGCTCCCCGGAAGAAGCTGGTCAGCACAGCCCAGGAGGGAGGCCGCATGTCCTGGGCGCCCGCAGCAGGAGGAGCACGAAGCGCCCACCTTGGTTATTCCGCCTCAGCCTCGCGCCAGTCTATCAGCATCACCATTTTTTTTTTTTTTTTTTTTTTTTTTTACTTTTTTTAGCATCACCATTTTAACCTGTGAGGTAGCTGAGGTGTGGAGAGATTTAGTACCTGCTCGGGTCAGAGAACTAATATGCTGGAGAAGAAAGAGTATGAACCCAACCTGCCTGGTTCCCAAAGCAGCCATACTCTCTCTTTTAAGAAGTGAACGAGCGCCAGAATGCTTGGAGAATTTCGTAACTTCTCAAGGGCGCAGACTGATTCAACAGATCCAAACCTAGGCAGGATTCTGATCCAAGCCGCCACTCCCGCACTACCTGACCGCCCTGCCCCCATTTCCGTCCGCTGAGTGGCTCCGGTGAGGGTGGCGACGCTGCCCCAACGTCTCACACGCTGAGAGGCTCAGGGCAGCGTGCACATGTCCACGCTGCGGGACAGGCTCTCACGGTGTAAGGTATGTTGGTCATTTTACATGAGATGGCATGTGCCTTAGAAACAGAGTCTTAAATAAAGAGAAACTCGGAGGGGGAGCAAAGCAAGCTGTGCCAGAAGAGCTTGGGACAGTGAGGCGGAACGTGCCAGACTGGGCGACGGCGCGCCTGCTGCACCACAAGCTCCACGAACGAGCGTTGCGAATCCAGAGTGCATCCGCCTCATGTGCATCACAGAGTTCCAACGCCCGATAAGAAGCTCAGGGCCTTCTGGATCGCCTCAGCGAAGCCTGGCAGAACCATGATTGTTGCAGGGGCTACCCAGCGACTTTTAGGTAAATGAGAAATGGCCACAGTTGTAAAAGGAGGAGCACAAACTCCTTTCAAGTCACTTTGAATCCTGGGAACTTTGCACGTCTTTTGGTTTGTGAAGTTTTTTCAGCAACAGTAAAAGAGAAGAGCAAGATATGCACTAAGTCTCGAGTGCGCTTAAAGCTACGGCACAAAGCCCACAGGCAACACTTTCCCCAGGCAGGTAGAGGCAGAAGGAAGCCTGAGTCACCTTTTCCTGTTGCCTCCGGGCTGAGTAAACTCAGACCTGAAGGCCACAGGAAGTCGTTGCACCCACTCTGCCAGCATCCTCAGGATTGCTCACCCAGTACTAACCCTGGTCACGGGATGTACTTATGTGGTCAGCGTAGTAAACCTGCAGTGGTCCATGATGTCAGGAACCCTGTCAGAGAGCTACAGGGCCTTTTCCAAGGAACGTTTTCTAATAAAAATGCATCTGCAGGAGAGATTAAACTCTGAGCTCTGAAAGAGCGAACGTGAGCGCTGTCCATACAGTAGAGTGGGAGCTCATTGAAACAGAGGCTTGTAGGAGGTAAGTGCCTCTAGAACAACTTGGAGAGCAGTAAACCGTCTCTCAGTTTCCTTTTTATTAAAAGGTAAACGGGCAGTTTAGAGGGTGAAGAATGTTTTCAAAGGCACTTATGCAGAGGAGACACTGAATAGTTATTATTATTCTCATCATATTAGTCCCCTAATGATTCAATATATATTTATCACTCAATAATTTGTCTAAATATTTATGAACCAGTTTATATATTCAAGCTGCCATCACTTGGTATCAATGTTTTTTTCTTTTCTGGAGTTCTCCGGGTTTCACAGCTCTGGAACATGGGATTTGCTAATCGGCTCTGTGTTTAGCTAGCCATTTCCCTTTGTAGAACCTACTTCCAGCAGAAGGGGAATCAATGGTGATAGGTCCAGTTGGTGTATAAAGTTCTCTCACCACCATGGTTTAGTAAAGTAAGAGTGGGTTAGAATTTCAAAACAGAGAACAAGAAAGAAAGCAAACACATTTTTCTGGTCTAGAGAAAGCACCAAAACTGCACTAGGAAATTCTGAAAAAGTATTGTGGGATTTTTCTGATCATTTAGTGAAATATCTGGAAGCTATGAAGGAATATTAATGGCAAAGCACCGCTACCTTGAACTTATCTAGAAGTTTAAAGTTTACTAGGCTCTCTTGATATCTATTTTCTCATTTGATCTTCGCAAACATCTCTGAGGTAGTCGGGGCAAGTATTGCTACCGCTTCTGTTTTGCAGAGGAGGAAAGACACCTCCATTTAGTGATATAATTGACCTGCGGTTGCGGAGGAGTGATAGAGAATCTATTAGCCTCACTAAATGGTTAAGTGATTCATTCAAGAACTTATCCGAGGCATCTCTGCTTTGTGTCTTGGCTGCTGGGTTTTCCT